AATGCAAATTAATTACTTCAAAATCATACAATGTGATTTTCTGGATTTTTGTTTTAGATTCCGTCTCTCACAGTTGAAGTGTACCTATGATAAAAATTACAGACCTCTACATGCTTTGTAAGTAGGAAAACCTGCAAAATCGGCAGTGTATCAAATACTTGTTCTCCCCACTGAGAGAGAGATATATATATATATATACATAATTATATTTCCTTTTCTTAAAACTTGTGTGCTTGGTTATGTTCTTCGCTAAATATGCATTTTGAATGTAGAATTCAACTTCCGTATGTTTGTACAATTTGAAAAAGTTAATAAATAAAAAAATACACGCATACTGAAAACATTTTTAAAAAATACGGATTCGTTTGGTAGAAGACGAAAAGGATACCCTGCACATGCGCCACGGCGTGTGCGCCGTCGTCTATAATAATTTGTCCGTTCTAAATTATTTTGACCAGCAGGTGCCACTAGTGTACAACGTGTTGATCAAAGCCTTGAGTAATGAACCTATAGAGTACCACAGTATGAGTCATAATACCCATAAAACTTAGCGGTAAAACAAGGAAATGGTTCCTATCATTCTTCCACCATTCATTTTTCCCATAGGGGATTTTAGAAACACTTAAAATAAGGGCTGTGTTTCGTGTAGGCTTACCCTGGTGTGACATTTTGATAACCGTGTAAATCTCTCTAGGACAAGATTACTTTTATCAATATATTCACCTGTATAAAAAAATAAAAAAACGAAATGCTAATTAGCTGCTAATGTGGCTATCATAAAGAACTACCAATGCCATGATGATCTGGACGAGTCTGCCGAATCAAGGCAAAGGTAAGAATCTCTGGATTAACTATCTAATGTTAGCTAAATTTAGTAATGAATATGTTGGCTACATTTCTTTTAAATTGACAATACCTGTTAGCAAAGGTGTCAGCTAGAGATGATGTGCAAGAACTTGTAGGGATGTGTAGTCTTGCATGTTGTCTACTTTGATGCTAATTTGCATTTTCGAATCAGAGTAAATAGAGCCGAAAATATTGATAAAAGTCACCTTGTCCTCGGCCTCCCGAGTGGCGCAGCGGTCTAAGGCACTGCATCGCAGTTGCGGCATCACTACAGCCTGACGTTCTACCGGGAGTCCCATAGGGCAGCGCACAATTGGCCCAGCGTTGTCCGGGTTAGGGGAGGGTTTGGCCACGGGGGCTTTACTTGGCTCATCGCGCTCTAGCGACTCCTGCAGGCGGACTTCAGTCGTCAGTTGAACGGTGTTTCCTCCGGCACATTGGTGCAGCTGGCTTCCGGGTTAAGCGAGCGGGTATTAAGAAGCGCGGCTTGGCGGGTCATGTTTTAGAGGACGCATGACTCGACCTTCGCATCTCCCGAGCCCGTTGGGGAGTTGCAGCGATGAGACAAGATCGTAATCACGAAATTGGGGAGAAAAGGGGGTGAAAATGACAAAAATCACCTTGTCCGAGATACATTTCCATGGTTATCAAAACATCACGCCAGGGTAAGCCTACATCAAACACATCCCTTTAAGTGTTTCTACAATTCCCTATGGGAAACATTAATGGTGGAAAAACAATTGGAACCATTTAGCTGTTTTATGGGTATTATGACACCTCCACTGTGGGGCTCGATTTGACAATTGACTGGAAATTATCAATGCTTCACTACTAAGTAACCAAGCAATTTTTTGGGGTTGAAAGAATTCAAAAGGAATACAACAGACATCTAACACAGCAACCAACCATAGGCAACCAACGCTTAAACAGAAAATGTAGCCAGCCTCTTCCAAATAATGATTGCTGGTTCCATCTGTGTAAATGCACCCCCTTGTGAGCAGGCGCAGAATGCATCCATAAACTGTATTTCATTATATTGCTAATTAACGATTACGCCATTGACTGCAGAATATTGTTAACTGCTATTATAAATTGTAGTGATTAATTTGCCGTTTTTGTCTAGCTAGCTCCTTTCACAGGTTATATAGAAAAAACAAAACGTATGCAATGTGATGCATGCTATATTTAATTGAGTATGGCTTTTCAGATTTTTCAAGAAAATAGTTTATTAATAGATACAGTACATATAATAAGAACAAGAACAAACAATACAATAGATAGGAATTAACAGGCAGTCGTAAACTCCATTGAGAGTCAAAGTATGCTTAAGGTTTCTGTGGTGGTTTTGTGTTGTGGTCAATAATTATTTACACATATTGGACAACATCAAGGATATGGGGTAGTCTAAAACTCTTCATAATTATGTTGAACCACAGTCAGGGTTGGAGTCCCAATTCCTGTCAATTCACATTCAGTCAAGCTAAGCAGTGACAATATTGGAGGTCAGATCTAGGTAAGTTATTTTTAACCATTTCTTACACATTCATAAATTAAACTAGCCAATGTGAAAACCTGATTCATATTGGCAATAACTGGTAACCTGTGTGCTTAAAACACTGTGGTTAACTGTCACTACAGATAAGAGTCTGTAAATGACTTAAATGTAAATGTATGCAGACCCACACAAGATGTTTCATACGAAACAAGTTCATATTGAATAGCCTGCATCTAAAAAGGTGACCAAAAGTGCACCCACACCAAATCAATTAGTTATCTTCATGAACATTACATACAAAAATGACAGGAGGCTGAATAAAAGGTGTAGTATGTAACATTTTAGCATGAACTTAGTTGGTTTTTGAGGAGTAAAACTTAGAAATACCTAAAATAACAAATCATAAACTTAGCAGGGACTTGAAATGTTGTTCTTGGAGGTTGAAAACTTAAACAGTATCAAGAATCCACAAGTTTGGAACACGCTAGCACTGCCCCATTCCCTCTCATTGTTTTTGGTCATTAATGCTAAAGTTAGCAGTTGGGTGATTCTCATGAAACAAGATTTAACCATGGCAGTAACAAATTGCGTTAGAAAACCATGATGCATCTGCAACAATCAACAATCATTCTGAAGACTAGGATGCTTAGTGTATGGCACAGTGTCTTACATTTTCACCCCAAATTCTCATTACCGAAATGCGTCCGGATTAAACTCTTGGGTAATTTTATAAAATTGTACTATTTTTATTTTTTTTTTCTTAGTCATGCTCTTATCCAGAGCGACTTACAGGAGCAATTAGGGTTAAGTGCCTTGCTCAAGGGCACATTGACAGATTTTTCACCTAGTCGGCTAGGGGATTAGAACCAGCGACCTTTCGGTTACTGGCACAACGCTCTTAACCACTAAGCTACCTGCCGCCCCTAGATAAACCTAACTTATTTGAATAAACACAATATGTTGCTGTAGTTTGTCGATAAATCATAAATTGTGTACTAGTTGAAGTTTACATTAAACTATAATATTTATTACATTAAAACAGTGTCTGTGGACATGTTTCTCATTACCGTAACACTTTCAAATTGCTGTAAAAACTCAAATTTTATTCACCCATGATGCATCATCTAGAAGAGTAGTCCTTAGATGAACACAAGTTCATTTAATATCTTTATTTATGTCTTCAGAATGAGAATCTTATTCTCAAACACCCCCTTTACGACACTTGACAACCTCATTACCAAAATTAGGAAAAAGCTCTAATTGGGAAAAACAGAACCATCACCTTACCAACATGGAGGCATGAATGGGCTTTCGTGATGTGGTCAATTGTTTGCTGTCTCCTATTACTTGCAGATTGAGCTAAGTGCCTCTCATTACCGCATCACTTTTAGGTATTTCGTTAATGAGAACCTTCATTTCTGTAATGATAATAAGCTGATTTTTTATTGTATAGTCAATGGGTGTGCTGTGCTGGTAACTTTAATTATTTACTAGGACTACTGCTTACACCTATTGTATAGATATTTGGTAAAACATAACTTATTCGATTAAGTAGGATCAAAGAAATATGGGTGTATAAACCCCATTGAATTTACTTAAAGCCACAATCTGGAGTTTGTTTCAACAATGAGCAGCCCTGCCACTTAAAGGAGGATATCCCCCATTTTTACATATGTACCTGTTTTACCACTTTTTTTGGTCCATATCCCACATATTTAAATACTTCATAGGCATATTGTGTTATGCCATTTGCGCATAGGAGGCTATTCAATTTAGAAATACATCTAAAATACCTTAGAACCACACATATCCACGTCCTTATACACCAATATTACTTGTAAAAAAAGTCACCTTTTTATGCTCAAGTCCACTTTCACTTTTGAAAATAAATGCACAGTACTTATGCTAAATTAAGGCATATTTTAGTAAATTGCATTAAGATCAGTGATTTTCATATTATTCAAATCATTTGGGATTAACAAATGACACAGTTTGATGATGTATTGGGTTACTGAATCTAATAGAGCTCAGTACAGTTTTTAAATGGCAAACTATGCAACACTCATTACCGAAACATGCATTCTCATCTCCGGATCCATCTTATCATTACTGCAATACACCAATATTTAGGAAATATTACAAAAAGTAAAATGTACACTAGTCATTTTGGCTTAATCTGATAGTGTGCCTTTTGTTCTTTATTGTTAAAGTAAATAGGTTTACATAAAAACAAGTTATTATTCAAAAAAACTAGATGATTCAGCAAAGGTTGTGTGTTGCGGTAATGAGAAATTACAAAATACATTAAGAAACGAATTTTAAATATATTTGTTTTTAGTGTTATGTTTAACACAGGCCTTTTTATTAGGTGAGCAATGCTAAAAAAATATATATAGAAATTGGTTGGTTTATTACTTTTTGGGACTTCGAAAACTATTGCGATAATGAGAATTTTTGCATTGGTAGTTGTGGAAATCGTGGTAAAATGCATAATATCTGATCAATAAACATAACAATAATTATGAAATAGATAACTATAGATCCTAATCTTAGTGATCCAAGAGGAATTATGGTAGAAAATGTAATGTGCCAGCTTCGTGAGAATCACCCAGTTGGTGTCAGTGACTTAGTAAACAAATATGAATTGTAGTGGATTACAGTTTCTCCTGGCCCATAGACTACTGTCAAGGTAAGGAACCATTTTGCTAATGTTGTGAACAAAAGAGGGTATATTAAACACAGGTTTAAAAACTGTGGGTGAACTATATCTTTAAGGGCTATTTGTATTTGGAGATATTACACAATGCACCTTTAATGAGTAAGAGTTTATAATGGCAATATAAAACAAAACGGTACCATTCATACTAAAAGTGTGGTCTTGCTAAACTAGAATAAGACTTTTTCACGTTCAAATGAATAATCTCAATAAACATGTAAAAACAGGTAGTGTTTGTTTCAGCGGGATATAGGCTACTAGCACACATAGCCCATCCATTTTGTGAAATAAATAAAAACAGAAAACAATGATCTCTACATCCAGAAGGAATTATTGATGTGTGTGGCGAGACAATTGGGATGCACCAGGTGAAATAGGCCATCCTGCATAAGAGCAAAAACAAACAAACTTCAAATTAAGAATACTGTGAAGGTAGTCTTGAGAGCTTATAGCTTTAGGCCAGGAGCAGTGGTTGTGAAATAACATTGCTTGTAATTGCTGCTCGTTAACCAGAGGGAATTTAAGTCAGAACATGTCATTTGACAGTATCTACAAGTCAATATTCTTCTATTCTTTCTAGTTATATAGAAACCTTTGTGAGGTTGCTGTGAAACGTAGTACATATTTCCATTGAAATCCCCCGTTAGAGTTAACAGGGTGAGAAGAAAGCTCATTTCAATGAGGTGAATGTTTTCCCTGACAACACTCACCTTTGGTGTGGTTCACCTTCCAGAGCAAATACTTCTGTCCTCAAAAATTGTGATTTCAACCTGGTGAGGGGGTTAGTTAAGGAAACTGGGATCCAGCAAGAAATGAAAGAAGGGTACACAAGAAAGGTCTGAGTGTGTGTGTCCCAAATGGCATCCTATTCCCTACTTTTGACCAGACCCCCAGAAAATATAAAGGGAATAGGGTGCCATTTGGGATGAACCCTGTTTGTGTGAGCCTCCAAGACAGTAAAGGATACAACCCTGAGACCTCGCTCTATTGGGTCTGTCAGCAGCAGTCCCAGAGGAGCATAGATCTTCTCATTCTGCTCCTTGATGAACCTAGCGATCTTCTTCAATACCTAGAGACAAAAAAAGTAAGCCCTTTCACCCATTCATGGCTTGGCCTCATAAAAAGACCACCCAATATGGCCACTGGTCAATGAGTCATTAAACATTGGTTGTCCCAAAAGACACCCTTTTCCCTAAATAGTAAGTGCACTACTTTTGACCAGGGCCCATAGCGTGACACTTGGGACCCAGATTGCTTTTATTTTGAATGTTATACCAACCCTTGGCCTATATACTTCTAGAAGACTGAGGGACCTACTTTCTCATAGTGGGTCTCCATACAGAGGAAGATCGTGTAGGCTGTCATGCAGGCCAAGCAGCCCTCCAGGTAAGACTTGCCACCAATTTTCTCGGCCTCAGCGTAAAGGTTGTTAAGCGTCTGCATCGTCTCCTCAAACTGCTGCTTATCAACCTGAAAAAAATAACGCCCACCGACCACTCAGTAAAAAGGTCTGCACGGCCAAATACACTGAGTAATAATTATCCTTTCTTGGGGGTCTGGAGAAGTGGAAACCTCACTCCTTTGAAAAGGAAACAGGTGAGTAGCTAGTTGTTTCCATACATTGGGCCTAATTCAGGTGCTAATAAGGGTGAACACTGTACACAATCTTAAAGAAACCAATTCACTGCTAAGTAGCTCTCTCTCTGTGTGTGTGTGTGTGTGTTAAAGTGCTGAGCAATTATCCCAAATTATTATTTTTCAGATTTTAAACAACTGACCGGCATCGGTTCAATTATTTGAATTCCATTTCGTTCGTTTTTTTTCTGTGAGCTCAATGCACACATCACACGGTTTCTCTAGAGATAAATCAGATCCAGCCTGAACTGTGCGATGTAGTAGGGAGTTGCAGTTTCCAACAGGCTAATATTTTTTGCATAGTTTAGCGCGTAATACGTGGTAATTAACTACAATGACCATAATCCATTGCGCAGCTACTTGTCTGGTCTGTTTCTTTAAAGCCTGCTACTGAAGAGAGAAGGATGTGCGATTGTGAGGTGATATATAGAGCCCCACAGTGGAGGTTATAATACCCATAAAACCTAGTGGTCAAACAGGGAAATGGTTCCAATTGTTTTTTCCACCATTCATTTTTCCCAAAGGGTATTTCAGAAACACTTCAAATAAGGGCTGTGTTTCGTGTAGGCTTACCCTGGCGTGACGCTTTGATGTCAGAGTGAGATTGACATGGTTAAGGTGACTTATCAATATATTTGGCTCTACTTACTCTCAGATTTGAAAATGCTAATTAGCATCAAAGTAAACATGCAAAACTACAAATCCCTGCAAGCTCCTGCACGTCATCTCTAGCTGACACCTTTGCTAACAGGTAATGTGTCAATTCAAAACTTGCACAAGACAGTTCACAATTGTCCATTTAAAGAAATGTAGCCAATTTATTAATTACTACATTTAACTAACATTAGATAGTTAATCCAGAGATACACACTACCAGTCAAAAGTTTGGACACACCTACTCATTCAAGGGTTTTTCTTTATTTTTACATTGTAGAATAATAGTGACGACAAACTTCACTATTAAGGAATTAAGGAAAGAAATTCCACAAATGTACTTTAAGAAGGCACACCTGTTAATTGAAATGCATTCCAGGTGACTACTTCATGAAGCTGGTTGAGAGAATGGCAAGAGTGTGCAAAGCTATCATCAAGGCAAAGGGTGGCTATTTGAAGAATCTCAAATATAACATATTGTGATTTGTTTAAACACTTTTTTGGTTACTACATGATTCCATATGTAGTATTCCATGTATTCCTTAATGCGGTTGAGACAATCAGTTGTATTGTGACAAGGTAGGGGGTGGGGGTATACAGAAGATAGCACTATTTGGTAAAAGACCAAGTCCATATTATGGCAAGAACAGCTCAAATAAGTAAAGAGAAACGACAGTCCATCATTACTTTAAGACATGAAGGTCAGTCAATACAGAACATTTCAAGAACTTTGAACGTTTCTTCAAGTGCAGTCGCAAAAACCATCAAGTGCTATGATGAAACTGGCTCTCATGAGGACCGCCACAGGAATGGAAGACCAAGAGTTACCTCTGCTGCAGAGGATAAGTTCATTAGAGTTACCAGCCTCAGAAATTGCAGCCCAAATAAATGCTTCAGAGTTCAAGTAACAGACACATCTCAACATCAACTGTTCAGAGGGGACTGTGTGAATCAGGCCTTCATGGTTGAATTGCTGCAAAGAAACCACTACTAGAGGACACCTATAAGAAGAAGAGACTTGCTTGGACCAAGAAACACGAGCAATGGACATTAGACCGGTGGAAATTTGTCCTTTGGTCTGGACTCCAAATTTGAGATTTTTGGTTCCAACCGCTGTGTTTTTGTGAGACGCGGTGTGGGTGAACGGATGATCTCCGCATGTGTATTTCCCAACGTAAAGCATGGACGAGGTGGTGTTATGGCGTGGGGGTACTTTGCTGGTGACACTGTCTGTGATTTATTTAGAATTCAAGGCACACTTAACCAGCATGGCTACCACAGCATTCTGCAGCGATACGCCATCCCATCTGGTTTGGGCTTAGTGGGACTATCATTTGTTTTTCCACAGGACAATGACCTAACACACCTCTAGGCTGTGTAAGGGCTATTTTACCAAGAAGGAGAGTAATGGAGTGCTGCATCATATGACCTGGCCTCCACAATCCCCCGACCTCAACCCAATTGAGATGGTTTGGGATGAGTTGGACTGCAGAGTGAAGGAAAAGCAGCCAACAAGTGCTCAGCATATGTGGAAACTCCTTCAAGACTGTTGGAAAAGCATTCCAGGTGAAGCTGGTTGAGAGAATGCCAAGAGTGTACAAAGCTGTCATCAAGGCAAAGGGTGGCTATTTGAAGAATCTCAAATATAAAAATCTATTTTGATTTGTTTAACACTTTTTTGGTTACTACATGATCCCATATGTGTTATTTCATAGTTTTGATGCCTTCACTATTATTATATAATGTAGAAATTAGTAAAAATAAAGAAAAACCTTTGAATGAGTAGGTGTCCAAACTTTTGACTGGTACTGTATATATCATTCTGTTGGTGGCAAGAATTTTTTATAATAATTTAAATAGAAAAACTCAGTGTTGAATAAAGTGTTATTTTTTGTATCCGTTCATATACCATGGAATCAGTACATCGAAAATCTCTTCCCATTTATTTTGCAACCTGTATGGCGCAGCTGTCAACATTTTTGTCCTCAAATGAAAATGGTAGATTTGTCTATTTATGCCAATCCTTTTCAGCCAATTTGGATCTTTAGTAAATGGCAGACGAACATGTTCCCTACCTTCCCTCTTACACTTGCATCCTCCATTTTTGTGGTAATGCTGCAATCAGTTGGTTCTAACTTTGGATTGAGCAGACATTCCCATATATATTTCGATAGCTGCATACGTGACACAACTCATTTTACATTTACATTTTAGTCATTTAGCAGACGCTCTTATCCAGAGCGATTACAGGAGCATTAGGTTAGTGCCTTGCTCAAGGGACCATTTGTCATTAGCAGACGAATCTTATCCAGAGCGACTCACCAATTGGTGCGTTCACCCTATGCAGTGGGATAACCACTTACAATTTGGGGGGGGGGGGGGTAGAAGATTACTTTATCCTATCCCAGGTATCCTTAAAGAGTGGGGTTTCAAATGTCGGAAGGTGGTGAGTGACTCCCTTCCTTCAGGCGTCGTGAGGGAGCTTGTTCCACCATTGGGGCCAGAGCAGCGAACAGTTTGACTGGGCTGAGCGGGACTATGCTCTCCGCAAGGAAGGAGCCCAGCCAGGGCCACCATTTCTATTCATAATATCATTAATAAATAATACAATCCAGAGATTATTACCAGTGCCTCGATTCGGCAGTCTCGTCCAGATCATCATGGAGTTTGTAGTTCTTTATGATAGCCACATTAGCAGCTAATTAGCATTTAATTTAGAGATTTACACGGTTATCAAAACGTCACACCAGGGTAAGCCTACACAAAGCACAGTCCTTATTTGAAGTGTTTCTAAAATCCCCTATGGGAAAAATGAATGGTGGAAAAACAATTGGAACCATTTCCCTGTTTGACCGCTTGGTTTTATGGGTATTATGACTCATACTGTGGTACTCTACAGAGTGCACTAGTGTTGAATGATTAGTGCTTTGAGGTCGTTTCGGTTCGATTATAAAAAGTAATCAGGGTTTATGATTATTTATTTATTTTACATTAAATGCACTATGCATTGTTGGTTGAATGCTGTAACACAGAATAAAATAATTATTAAAAGTCACATGATGGTATTGACTGCCCATACTGCTTATCACTTATTAACCATCATTTATACACGACTTTAATAAAATATTTCCGTTTTGTATATTACATTTGTTTTATAGAGCTGATGCCTATGCTGTCTGACTATTTTAAATAATAAATAACAATAAATATTTTATAGTTCTTCAAATTAAATAAGGCATACTTTATGACTGCTGAATACCAACTACCAATCCCTTAGATCATGTATGTTCAGGCAGAGATACCTAACTAAGCAACAGCTGTTATCATACCCTAGACTCCAGCTCAGAGGGGAACTTGGTCTGGAACTTGCAGATTTTACCCGAGTTGTAGTCCCTCTGGACATACACTTTGGAGGCGACGGCTGCTTGTTGCTGCAGGTCCTGCAAGCTGTGCGTCTGGGTGGGGTAAAGCATGACTTGAATAAACATCTCATGGGGTCACTTGAATCCATCAGAATTCTAGTTATTGAGTTAATGGAAAAAGCTATCTAGCTAGCTACATACCTCTGCTTCAAACAGACTCTGGGCCTTAAGATTATTTTGGGAAACCGGGCCCTGGACAGGCAGAGAGCTAACTAACTTTAGCTAACGTTACGTTACCTAGCTAAATTAGCTAACGTTAGCTAGCTAGCCATACTTGTTGACTGCAGTTTGCTTGGCTAGTAGACCAAGCACCACAGTACAGGCAGCCACCAAATGGTGAAATATATATCCACAATATCTAATTTGGTCAGACACGGCTCATAACATAGTTGTAAATGTCTCAATACACACAGTTAAAACACAAATATGAACGTAATTTACCTCCGCCATAGTGGACTGTGTTCCTTCCTCCAGCTAGCTCACTACTGCCGCGTTCAAACTAACTGGGAACTCGGAAAATTCTGACTTCAGTGTGTTTAATAAAAACTTGGTTATCGGGGGGGGGGGGGGGGAAACTAGCGGGGAAAATCGATTTGAACGGTCATCCAATTCGGAATTATCTTCTTCTTCTTCTGTGGGTTTTATGGCGGACTACATCCAAAATTTGTTTTCAACTCGAAATTCCAACACCAGACCTCGGGCCTCTTTCTAGTGCCGCGTTCAAAGTAACTGGGAACTTGGAAAAATACGAGGTAAAATCATGACGTTCATGATCATCAGGTCGGAAAATCGGAGCTCTAGAAAAAGTTGGATGACCGTTCAAATAGATTTTTCCCAATCGGACCTTCTGAGTTCCCAGTTGTTTTGAACGCTCGGAAGTAGGAGATTTCCGAGACCGAGTTCCGAACTCCCAGTTGTTTTGAACGCGGCATAAGTTCCGACCTGAAGCTCACTGACGTCATGATATCACCTTTATTTTTCAGAGTTTCCAGTTTGTTTTGAACGCTGCATGACAGCGGCAAGAATAACTACACACTTCCGGGTCACGGATTTTTGGAATCCTTCATTTTACATTTTAGTCATTTAGCAGACGCTCTTATCCAGAGCGACTTACAGTTAGTGAGTGCATACATTTTTTTATTTTTATACTGGCCCCCCGTGGGAATCGAACACACAACCCTGGCGTTGCAAGCGCCATGCTCTACCAACTGAGCTACACAGGATCAGAATAAGAGTTGTGTCCTGTATACTTTCTAAATGAATAATTAGGGCGAAAATGATAAGACGTGCATAATTATCGATATATTTGATACTACTGTTGGTGGAACCATAAGGAGAGGAAGTACAAACCAACGACGCTAGACAGAGAGGAATATGCTTAAGCATAAGGCAGTTTATTAAACAACAGAGATAGATGGTACTGCTCAAGCTACATGCATGGACCCATTCAGTTGCCTCTTATGGAGACAGTTGAAAAGGGATCAAAAACAGAGTTTACAGCATTACTTTATACAATGTAACACAAAGGAAGGGGTCCTTCTTCTAGTCCCTTGATTGGTTCCCGAGGCGTAGGAGGCGGGTCTGCACGGCAGAAGTCCTCTGCCCTTGGGAACCGACCAGTAGAACGAAGTGCAAGTTTGTGGTGTGCGTAATCGTGAGCATGAGGATGACGTGTGCCGTATGAAGGAGATGTGTGTGTAATGCTGTGTATGTTCTCAAAGGAAAGACTCGTGGGGAGGCAACCAGATTGGGCCTGTGGCGTGGGTGTGTCCTTCGAGAAGATATTCGGCTCTGTCCATTGTTCTTGCCTAGGAACAGCATTGAGTGAAACAAGCTCCTCCTAACATTAAAATGGGTCATATTACTACGACCACTACTTATCATACAAAGAATGATTACAAGTATTTCTATAACATATTATGTGATTTATTTGTTTATTTTTTAAAGCCTAAATGGTCAACAATGTTTATTCATGTGTGTGTACATTTATTGCACCATACATAATTGCCTGTACGTTGTGTCACAGTAAAAGGGAGGTCCATTCTACTCAGGAGCAAAACATATTGATACAACAGTAGCTAAGATGGGGAGGAGTCTGTCCATAATAAAGCGCTTCTCTACCTTCCTAACAGCACTATCAACAAGGCAGGTCCTACAGGCCCTAGTTTTGTCGCACCTGGACTTCTGTTCAGTCATGTGGTCAGGTGCCACAAAGAGGAGGGACTTAGGAAAATTGCAATTGGCTCAGAACAGGGCAGCACGGCTGGCCCTTGGATGTACACAGAGAGCTAACATTAATAACGTAATAATGGCTCAAAGTGGAGGAGAGATTGACTTCATCACTACTTGTATTTGTGAGAGGTATTGACATGTTGAATGCACCGAGCTGTCTGTTTGAACTACTGGCACACAGCTCGGACACCCATTCATACCCCACAAGACAGCCCCCAAGTCCAGAACAGACGATGGGAGGCGCACAATACTACATAGAGCCATGACTACATGGAACTCTATTCCACATCAAGTAACTGATGCAAGCAGTAAAATTTGATTTAAAAAACAGATAAAAATACATCTTATGGAACAGCGGGGACTGTGAAGCAACACAAACATAGGCACAGACACATGCATACACACACATGATAACATATGCACTATACACACACATACATATGGATGATGTGTTGTAGATATGTGGTAGTGGAGTAGGGGCCTGAGGGCACACACTTAGTGTGTTGTGAATGTATTGTAATGTTTAAAAAATTGTATATCTGCCTTAATTTTGCTGGACCCCAGGAAGAGTAGCTGCTGCCTTGGCAGCAGCTAATGGGGATCCATAATAAATACAAATACAAATACTTCTGGTTTCCAAATCCACAGAGTTTACACCCAGAGGAGCTTCGATGCGTTGCGGCCAATCAGCATGAACGCAGTACGGTTTTTGCTATCGGGGTTCCCCAGGTAGCGAGCGGAATGGCATCCCTTGAGAGGGCAAGAACGAGATGTATGTTAGGGGAAGTACAATATTATCATAAGGAGACGTATACTTGGAATACAGAGGAGGAATGGAGAGAAAAAGAGATGCAGAGGAGGTCGAAGAGAGAGGGGGAGGAAGAGGGTGTGCTTGAATTGGTAAAAAATAGCGGGAAAAAGGGAGATGGTTTGTTGAAGAATAATGGTAGAAAGTACAGTGACTTCGGAAAGTATTCAGACCCCTTGACTTTATCCACATTTAGTTACATTACAGATTTAATTTAAAATGGATTTTAAAAAAGAAATATCCTCAGCAATCTACACACAATACCCCATAATGACAAAGCGAAAACAGGTTTTTTATTACAAATAAGAAACAGAAATACTTTATTTACATAAGTATTCAGACCCTTTGCTATGAGACTCTAAATTGAGCTCAGGTCCATCCTGTTTCCATTGATCATCCTTGAGATTTTTCTACAACCTGATTGCAGTCCACCTGTGGTAAATTCAATTAATTTGACATTATTTGGAAAGGCACACACCTGTCTATATAAGGTCCCACAGTTGACAGTGCATGTCAGAGCAAAAACCAAGCCATGAGGTCGAAGGAATCACAGATCTGGGGATGGGTACCAAAAATGTTTTGCAGCATTAAAGGTCCCAAAGAACACAGTGGCCTCCATCATTCTTAAATGGAAGAAGTTTGGAACCACCAAGACTCTTCCTAGAGCTGGCCGCCTGGCCAAACTGAGCAATCGGGGGAGAAGGGCCTTGGTCAGGGAGGTGACCAAGAACCCGATGGTCACTCTGACAGAGCTCCAGAGTTCCTCTGTGGAGATGGGCGAACCTTCCCGAAGGACAACCATCTCTGCGGCACTCCACCAATCAGGCCTTTATGGTAAAGTGGTCAGACTGATAAAGAAATGTGTGAGTAAGATATGACTAAAATGTCACACCCTCAGTTAAACTAATAATGTATGACTATTAGAAGACTAGAGCTTAGAGAGTTAATCATATGTGTTTATATAAGATGCATATTTGCCCAGCAACAGAGTATTTGTGTCTTGTACTGGACTTGGACTGGAACCTGTGCATTAGCTCAGCTGGTAATGCCTTTCACTCTCGTCAAACAATCTAACATGTTAGAGACTGGTGGTTTGTCGCGTAAAAAGCGAGACCTCCTTCCGGGATCTTTTGATGAGAGGATATATATCGATGGGATAGGAGTACCTCGAGGGGTTCCAGACGAATTCAAAGCTAGGAATCAGATCGCAGCTGGGTTTGAGTCAAATCTTTTCTTGTAGTCAACAATTAATAAGAATGTGGATTGGATAAATTACATCTACTACTACCAACAGAGATTTATTAACCACACTCGTGATGCAATGAAGGGATTGGCTGAGCAGAGAGCGGCAACGAGCTTAATGGCATGGCAGAATAGAATAGCTTTAGATATGCTTTTGGCTGAGAAGGGCGGGGTTTGTGTCATGTTTGGATCTATGTGTTGTACTTTCATCCCCAATAACACAGCGCCCGATGGGTCAGTGAACAAGGCTCTTCAGGGACTCACCACGCTGGCAAACGAACTGGCTGAGAACTCTGGTATTGATAACTCGCTAACCAGTTGGTTCGATAACATGTTTGGAAAATGGAAGGCTATTGTAGCGACTGTATTGGGGGCGGATCTGGCTGGGGTGTTCATGTTGATGTTATGTGGATGTTGTTTAATTCCGAGTGTGAGAGGTCTTGTGTTTAGGACTCTGGAGAAAGCGGTGACCCAACAGATGGTGAGGTATGGACCAATTCCAGACTCAGACCAATGGGATGAACACTACATGCCACCCGCTCTGTTGCATGATGCAGACGATTTCAACCCTGCTCTGTTGGATGATGCAGATGATTTCAATCCTGATGAACCTGAATTGAATGAGACAATTTTTAATGTTTAGTATGCTATCTTTTCAATGAAGATCATAATGAAAATCCTAACAAGAAGAGTTAAAATTTGTTAGCATGTAAGACAAGTTGTATTTTTATTGTGTGTTTCATTTTATATGCAAGAAGAGTATATTTTTATTGTGTGTGACATT